TATAGTGGACAAGCTTTCCCCTGCTTGCATGTCTCCATCTGAGGTAGAGATCCATACCTCTGGCTCTGCCCCCGGTGAGGAGGAGGAAGGTATCTTCAGCTTTGCCGTGACTTCAGCACTCCCACTACCCTCGAACAGACCACAAGGGGAGAGGAGACCACCACCCCGTAAGCTTCTGAAAAGACTGAACTCTGAGCCATGGGGTCTGGTGGCTCCTTCAGTACTTGCTGAGAGAGCGGAGCGGATAGAGGGCGATTTAGCCGAGGAGGACAAGTTGGTCTCGGAGATGAATGGGATGACAGTTTCTGGTCCTGGCAGACCTCTCCTGTCCCGAAGGCACAGTATAGAGACCCATGACCCATCTTCTCCAAAGCTGATGGACCGGTCCTGTTCGGAAGACTGTGCAGCACTCTGTGGCTCTTCCTGGGCGGATAAAGTACATCAGCACCAGTCACTATATCGTCGAAACACAGCCCCTGAGACTCAGGACAGTGTGGCTCAGGCACCGACAGGGATCCGTGGCTTACCACACCCCAAACTCACCCGCATGGAACACTACGAGTCGGACACCCACCTGTGCCCTGCCTCCATCCCTGGATCTCCGGATTCTGGACGTGTCTCAGTGGAGCACCGCAAGTACAACGCCTCTCCCTTGTCGCTGCTCACCAGCTCTTCTCGAGAGTCTTTGGAGAGCATTCCCAACTCGGTGTCTCCTATGACAATGCGGCGGCGGCCAACAGGACTGTTGGAACGGCGGGGATCAGGCACTCTCCTTTTGGACCACATCTCCCACACAAGACCTGGGTTCCTTCCTCCTCTCAACGTCAACCCTCAGCGACCCATTCCTGATATCCGTGCCAACGGAAAGCCCACTTCTCCCGTTCACTCAGGGAGCAAGATCCTGCTGCCGGTCGCGCCATCGTCACCAAAGCGTGGACCAGACTTCAAGATGAAGAAGAAACTGATGAGACGACACTCGATGCAGACGGAGCAGATGAAGCAGCTTTCAACCTTCCGGGAAATCCTCACAGAAAAGGTGATGGAGATGAATGGAGATTGAGAGCAAGAGAGAAGGAGAATGAGAGAGAGTCAGTGCTGGCCGAGAGTTTTCATTACTGGGTTCATCTACATCATCTTTGAGGCAAACATGCTCTGGTCCAGTTCAGCTCCTTTAGAACTTAGTACATACATCAAAAATATGCATTGTGGAGACAAAACCATCTTCAAATCCAGACAATGAAAGTGAAAATGAGTCACGGTCACTCAAGATCATAAAAAGGATCAGTTATTCCAAATTTGGAGACCATTCAAATGTTATTTGGGATTATTCCTTGATCATCAAGAATGCTTGAAGATGAACCCATTGATGTCAGTGGAAGTGCTGTTGGTGTTTGAAATTACTGCAACCTTCAGATGAAACCTCACAGATTTTGTATTCTACAGGTTTCTCTAAGTATTAGCGCTGTTATGGCTATCAGCCTTCTTAATGTTGTGCACTGTCTGAAAACAAATATGCCCAAATTGTACCTTTAGGGGCACAGCTAATTGTTGATGGGCACTACCCTTAAAAGGACAAATTTGTACTTTATCTACCCCTAAAAGGTGCATATTTGTACCTTAGAATAGTTCATAGGTATGTACCCTTAAGGTACTACTATGCATCTTTTTGAGGTAAATAAGGTACAAAGATGACCCAATAAGGGTACAAGCTGTTTGTAATTTTTGTGATGATCCTGTGGAATAATTGGGTTAATACTCTTAATATTCCTGAAAAAATGCACATCCATCTGTTTTCCTTTGGTAACAACATCAAGTGAAGTTGAAAACTCAAAAATTAATTTCTTCAACCATTACAGTACAGCTAAATTGATTCAAGTAATTTTATTAAAATTTAATTTAAAGGTGATCATTTACTTACTTGTAAATAATTGTGCTCAAGTCTTTTTAATGCAATATTTATTTCTGCATGTTTGTTTTGGACTGAAGGTTAAGAATTGTAGTCCTTGAGTCCTTGACTTTTAATTTAGCAATGGCAACCTGATTTTTTCCACAGGATGTACACTAGAAAGTATTGGAGATGGCTGACTGCTAAATATTCCTGGAACAAATGATAGTGTTAGATGATGAACACATTTCTGAATAACATTTTATTGCATTATGAAAGTGCAATAAAATATTACAGGAATTAATTAACATAAAAGCATTAAAAATGCTATATGACTAAAAACTAAATTGTACCAGTTAAACAAACTGCATGTTTCAGGGCTTTTGGATGGGTCGTTTATCTTTCTTAAACGTGATACAAAATAAGTGAAGTGCAATTCTTGAAACTCAAAATTCCAAAGAAACTCTACAAAGCCCATCCAAAACCACACAGATCCACCCTGACCCGACTCAGTGAAGGGGGAGAGAGAAACCCCTAGCCTAACGCACACTCCCTCTGGAGACACAGAGCACAGATATTGTGTACATACTGTACAGAGTACAATTGTGTCTCAAGCGTTTGAACGTGCAATATTCTGTGCTGCCTCAGCACTGATTTCATATTATTATCGTGAATGTGAACAATCACTCGGACGTGTGTCTGTGGTAACATGCTGCAGTAAATAGTTCAAGACGAGCTGGGAGCTCAGTTTACATTCAGAGGAGGAATCTCTGCACAAAAACTGAATTTCCCTAAAGAGCTGCAGTGCACAGTGTGTCCGTGTCAAACACATAGTTCAACTCAAGCTTATGATGTGAGTGAATATAGTGCTTCTGCTTTGAGATGTTCTAAACTTGATGCGAATTAAACTTAGTGTACTAGAAATGTATCATGAAAACAAAAAGAGGAATATTTTTTTATGCCTGTAGGGTTTTATTCTTGTTGTTTTTTATTTTTATTGAAACAAATTTTAATGTTTAATACAGAACTGTTGGTGGTGCAGTTTCACTTTGATGGTAGCTTTTGTGTTCCAGGATGTTTGAAATAAATAATATATGAGCAGCCGGAGCTCAATGGCTATAGCAATGTTCCTGAAAACGATTGCGATAAAAGCCAACCGTCACCTGTTAAATCGACGGACTGAAATCCAAATCTCTGATTACCTAGCCCTTTGTCATCCTGATGCGATTAGGAGAATCTTGGCACTTTGCTGTGTATTCATTGATTTGAGTGATTCTCCTCTTTTCATTTAACACACAAGCGAGATAACCGTGAGTTTGATTTGTTTCTAAATATGTTTGTATCTAAGTATCTCCAATATTTCTGACCTGCTGTACAAAAATACCCATTTAAATGAGTTGAAATTGTGTTCAAGTGTACCTGAAAAGATGTTAATAGTGTAAAGGGTGTTTTAGGTGCTGTACACAATGGACCTCCGTCTGTGCTACACTGTCGTTGGGTAGTTTGAGCCGTACTCCGGTGTTCTGCTCTCCATTCACATAGAAGGGTCACAGCTACACTATCAATGCATCATTTAATGGATTATGGATTAAATATTTCTTGTTATTTTGTATGTTTAGTGTGATACACAGGTCAAATGTAGTAAACCAAATAATTTTAAAATGTATTAAATTATTTAAAACAAAATGCTGTTGTGCTATTTCTCAGAGGCGATGATTTTCTTCAAGGGCTTTTAATTGCTTTGAATAAATGCATGACTGAGTCACCAATTTATTTTATACCAGTGGTTCTCAACTGGTATGTTTAAGGTTTGTTCTAAAAGGGTTGTGGACAGGGGGGGAAACGATGCTAAATTGTGCTAAATGCTAAAGCAAAACTTTGGAGAAAACTTTGGTGCTCAGAACTCACATATGATGGTGATTTTTTCTCTTGGGAAAGATATTAGTTTTGGTCTTTGAATTAACACAGCATGACACTGCAAATCTGGTCATCATAAGGTTGTTTCTATATGTAAAATGAACAAAGTATTAATTTTGAGTACAGAAATGACTACATAACTAGGCTACATGTTCAGTCAACTGTTGCATTGTATGCTAAGTGCTCAATGTGTTGTCAATTGAACGTACAGTATACACGCTAAGCCAAATGTGCTTTATAAATCTTATAGTTAGTACTTATTACAGTTAAATCAAATATTCTGTTAGGCTAACATAGGATGTGTTTTTGTGTGAAGTGAACATAATTTTTTTGTCATTTTGACATTTCTGAATATTTGTGTACACTACACTAAAATTTTGTGTCATGGATGAGTGTATAGTGGTGAATGGAAGCCTACTTTTTGTTGATTTTTAAAAATATATATATATATAGAGAGAGAGAGAGACTGATTACAGTAGTCCAAATTACAGTCACTCTGCTAATATAACAGTGCATAAATATCTTAATACAAATATCTTTATCTTAATACATTATACTTATTCTAATATATTTATTCTATTATTATACTACTATTATACTTACAAAAATTACAAGTACACATTACCCATTCCTTATAAATATCTTAATACAAATGCAAATATCCTAAAACTTAACACAAACATCTAGAACAAAGTATAAATATAAATAATATTTAAGGTGCAAGGTGCTGTAACGCGTGTCGTTCCTATATATATGAGCGTCACAGTTCTTACCACGCTCTGGCTCGTGGGTTCTTGGCTTTGATCCAAGGAGGACACCGACAGGGAGCTCGGCAGATCATAACACTTGATTTATTAAACACGAAGAGGTAAACATCATGAATCAGCCACATCCGATTACACAGAGCGTGTCATCTCTCCCTCTACGCTCTCACAACTGTCTAGATCATTCTCTCCCGCGATCCTAATCGCGGGTCTCTGTTCTCGCGATATTACCTCTAGATCTTATTTAAAGTTATAGAACATTAATGTTAGCCTTGAATTTAACTCCCTACAGTGCTATCAGGACACAAGACACCAAGGCCAAAGTGGAGGGATGGAAAGGCCACTAATGTCAGCCTGCCAGATGCAAAGCCGACCGAAGACAGAAAACAACAGAGTGGCCGTGACAGGGAGTTGTTTTTGTTGCTCTCCATGTCTTACTCCACGACCTGAAACAACAACATAAATCAGTGTCATTAATCTAAGTATATTATTACATTTTGAGTAAATTTGACTGATAATATGAACAAAACATTTAGCAAATCATAGACTCTAACGGTAGTACCATAAGCCAGTCATGGAGCTGCATCTCTTCCAGGATGAGTCTCCGCTGCGGATCAGGCTGCAGACAAGCGTGGATCATCTGGCAGCATTCTGTCCAAAACGATGAGAGAGATGTCTGATTATTAACCAATACAGTATGTTACACCTTTTATATTTAGATTTCAAATGGTATACTTTCATATTTAGCATTCAATTTGTCCAGCTTTGTTCTTTGATGAAGATCTCACCTTGTGACAGGTCAGGGTCCGACCAGTCGTTCTTACTGATCCTGTGCAGGTCTTTCTCGTCTGGATAATACCTGCACACCATCACGAACAGCAGCATCCCCAATGACCAAACTGTCGCCGGCTTTGCGTGGTACTTGCCGTCGAAATCAAACTTCGGTGGACAGAACATGTCTGTGCCTAAAAGGAAGAGATTTTGATATTTAATTCATTTTGAAGACATTTACAGCAGGAGTTAAACAACCCGCTAGCAAATCATCAAGCATACCATTGAAGGCCATGTAGGTGGAGTCCTTCATGAGTGTGCCGCACCCGAAGTCGATCAACTTGACCTCCCACGTGTCCGGGTTCACCAGGAGGTTCTCCAATTTTACTTGGTGGAAGACGCCGCGCTCACAGCAAGTGTTAGCGGTATGAATGACCTGCCACATAACATGTCTTGCCATCTTCTCATCGAGCCTTTGTCGGAGCTTCACTAAATTAAACACGCTCATGCAGGGCATGGGCTGCTCCAAGACCATTACGTAGTGGTACGGGTCGTCCTGCCAGTCCAGGAGTTTGATTATCTGCGGGACGCTGGGGCCCTTATTGGCCATGAGTGTCAGGCCGATCTCTAAGGGGAGGCGTCTGGGATGACCAGGCTAAAAGAAAGAATATATGATGCTTAGATGGAGGTGCTTTCTCAGATTAACATGAATATGAGATGTTAGAAACGGGAAACAGTGACTGAGAAGTGAAGTGACGTGGCCAAGTATGGTGACCCATACTCGGAATTAGTGCTCTGCATTTACCCATCCAAAGTGCACACACACAGCAGTGAACACACACAAACCGTGAACACACACCCAGAGCAGTGGGCAGCCATTTATGCTGCGGCACCCGGGGAGCAGTTGTGGGTTCGGTGCCTTGCTCAAGGGCCTTGCCTTGCTCAAGGGCACCTCAGTCGTGGTACTGTATGAGTCCGACTCTCTAACCATTAGGCCACGACTTCCCCCAATAGAAGCAATAATATAAAGAGCGCAGGCTACTTACAACTCTGATATATGGCGTATTTGGTGTCTTGTCAGCAATTTTCACAGCCACCTGATCAACAAAACAAAGAACTAACAGTTAGCATGTGCACAGAGATCAGTCCAGTCATGAATACTGAATGGAAAGTTTTGTAAGTAAAAAAGGAGTAAGTAAACAAATGAAACCTTCAGGCCATCCTCGCATCGAGTTCCTGCATGCACACAGCCGTAGCCTCCTTCACCCAGCTTGTGACCGAATTCATATCTCCAGAAAATGTGGCCTATTAAAAGATAAACAAATGTTAAACTTCTCATATGTAATTACATTTTTGTTACTAATTCTCATTTATTTATTATTCTTACTGTGGTCTGGCTCCTCCGCTTCATCTTCAGTGGAGCTCACTGGAGTTTTGACGTCCTGAGGTTGGAGGACGTCCTGTTCCAGCTGTTCCTCAGGAGCAGGGAGGACTTCAGAGACTGGAGCTTCTCCAAGATCATGAATCTCTACAATTTGCTGTAGAGAAGTCTGATCTAAAGAGGGGAATACCAATAACATTAATTAAATCAGATAAATAATAGGAATGAAATATTGCATATTCAAATGGCTCTTCATTTAGGGGAACTTTTGAAAAATGGGAATGCGAGAATGTGTGTATTGTTTTAGATTATGGCAGAAAATTTACCCTTGTCCAGCTCTTCCACTTTGTCAACTTCAGAGGAACTAACTGGAGTGTGGACATCCTGATGTTGGAGGACGTCCTGCTCCAGCTGTTCCTCTACAGCTTCATGAAGACCATAGATTTCTACAACAGGGATGAACTGTAGAGAAGTCTGATCTAAAGTGGGGAATACCAATAATATGAATAAAATATTGCATACTTAAATTACAGTAATTTTTTATATAAGTTCACTTTTGAGCAAAAAAAATAAATAAACATCTCCAAATAAAGTAAAATTATTTGTTTTACTGGGAAAGTGAGAATTGGATTATGGCAGTAAATTTACCCCTGTCCAGCTCTTCCACTTTGCCAACTTCAGAGGAACTAACTGGAGTGTGGACGTCCTGATGTTGGAGGACGTCCTGCTCCAGCTGTTCCTCTACAGCAGGGAGGACTTCAGAGGCTGGAGCTTCTTGATGATCATGGATCTCTACAATAGGGATGTGTTGTAGTGAAATCTGATCTAAAGAGGGAATATTAATAACAAAAATGTATAATTTTACAAATTTTTTTTTAGGCTTCATTTTAAATTTAAGGTTTTATTAGTTTTGTTGTGTGTTTTTGTCATTTTTATTAGTTATTGTTTTGTTTTTAATACATAGTTAATATTCATTTATATTTCAGATTTAGTTTGTTATTTTAGTACACGAAGTTAAACTAAATTAAAATGAAAAATGTTGCTTTGACAACTAGTTGAAATGATTTTACTGTTTTAAAATATTTGATTTAATTTCAGCTTACGTTTCTATAATTCAAAGTAACGAAAATTATTTTTATGGTTTTAGTTAACTGTAACAGGCTATTTCATGTGGGATCTTTAAACTGTCACTCTAATATGTTTGGTGTGATAATGTCAGCAGTATCTGGGCCATTGATTTTGTTGCTTTCCAACATTTTCCCAAACTTTTATCATCATATGTGTTTTTACCATCAGTAAGAGTCAGAAACGATCCCGCCTCACTCTGGTTCACTTTCTCTGCTTTAGCCACGTTGTATGTTCCTCTTTGGCTGAAAAGGTGAAGAAGGCGACATCTCCAAAACCTCTTCTTCTTTTTCTCTTGTTTCCCTGCCTCCTTTCTCCCTTCCTCTATCACATCAGCACCAGCAGGCGTCTCATCGAGCCGATGAGGAGGGTTTTCCTCCGGGATGGGCGGGAATTTGAGCGACGCTCCACTTTCAACGCTTTCTTTAGTCGTGAAAACAGTACCATGATAACACAGTTATTTTTTCACTCTGAAAACAGACTATTCCGAAACTTCTACCAACAAAATGAGCTAGTGAGTTCCAAGCGTTTAAATACTGACACGTGGCACGTTCTAATTCTTTCGTGACTTCACGGCGGGCTCGAACAGAGATGTACAGCTGAAATGACTTTTTACGGCTGTTTTTTTTTTAAATAATAACATCCTTTTTAAAAACATTTTAATGTCGGATGAATTATTTTTGTTAATTTATTATTATTGTTATTATTATTTATTAGTTTAGTTTTTATATAAAAAAGTAATACATTAATAAAACATGTTAAACATAGTTTCAACTGTGTAAAAAAGGGAGTAAAAAATAATTGAGGGAAAAATGCATTCTTTCAAATGTACAACATGGGGCTTGTATACAATAATTATATAAAAGAGCATATTATATTAATTATTATATATGAATAATACATATATATATATATATATATATATATATATATATATAGTAAAAAATGAATGGTAGATGCCTGCTTCTGCTTTACCATATCCAATTAAATCAAGCAGATCATTCCAGTCTCTGGGCATCTTCCATAAACAGTCGGAGAAAGAATGACCTTCATCCCGGAGGAATTTCTCTTCTCATCTAATCTCAGAATCTCTGAAAGTCTCATCACTTCTCTGTTTGTTAGACACACAGCAGTGTCAGCGACGCCTGAGAGCACTTGTCCTGTAAAAACACTTGTCAGTCTGACACACACACACACACACACACACACACACACACAGTGTCTG